TTTTTTATTAGAAATAGGGCACACAGTTTGTTCTAGGCCTAGGAGTTCTCCTCCCCACTCCATTTTACAGATGAGGAAACAAACTCTGAGAGGGGAAGTGACTTGCCTCTAGTCACACATTAAGTTGCTAGCAAAACCAAAATTAAAACTCAGACCTGCTGATTCACAGTGCAATGTGGATTTCCTACTTCAAAATATTTTCTTCTACACTATAATATTCATTAGCTAAAGAAAATGACTACTTTATCATTAATATAAACTTCAGTTCTATATTATACCATACCAAAAGAGAAAGTACTTGGCTAAGTAAAGAGAGGAGGTAGGGAAAAAAATGAACGCAACAAATTGCTTATACAGATGTACAAGAAGACTATATGCACATACCATACTACCTCAATTCTGAGACACATTAAACATTTAGACATTGTATCCATTTCATAAAAATTTTAAAATAAATATAGCACGGTAAATACATTTTCACTTCAAAAAATACTAAAATGTGAAAACACATTTAAATGTATTGTGATAGCCAAAAAGTTCCTTTAGTTTTTTCCCTTACGATGGCTCTAGTAGTGCTTAGTTGTCTTCAACTTCATTCAAAACAGCTGTCATATCAGTGTGCACTTAAAAAAAACTTATCGAAACTGGTGAATTTTTGTGCAGCTATTTTAATATTGAGGATGGAAGAAGATACACAACATTTTTGCTGTATTATGCTTTATTATTTCAAGAAAGGTAAAAACGCAACTGAAATGCAAAAAAAAAAAAGATTTGTGCAGTGAATGGAGGTGATGGAAAATTTCAAAAGTGGTTTGTGAAGTTTCTTAGAACTACTGACATTTTAGCCAAATTATTCTTTGCTGTGGGGCTGTCTTATGCATTGGAAGATGTTTATTTAGCAGCACCACAGCCTCTACACAACAGAAGACAATAGTATGGATGGCTGACACTCAAAATATACAAGTCAATAAATTTATTGGTGAAAATTAAAAATGTGTCTTTTATGGAAAAAACAGACTTTTTGGCCAACCCATTAATATAACACACTCTATGAGACACAAAAATCTCTAACATTTAAGAGCCAATGTCACAAGGCACAAATATACAAAGCCAGAACCCCATCTTCTAAGGTAACAAATAGCTACTAAATACCTAAGGGTATGTAGAACTTCTTTCAGTTGTGGGCATTCATATAAACAAGTTCTTCTTGTCACTTGTCTCATATGCATGAGTTTTGGAATTTAACAAAACAAGGTTTGAATCTCTGCTCTGTCCCTTAGCTCTTCAACCTTTGCAAAGTTATTACTCTGAGCTTCATTCTCTTCATCTGTAAAATGGGAGAGCCACCTTACAGAATTGTATAAAAATTAAATGTGATAATTTAAGAAAAAAGTACAGTACCTAGATGAAATATTGTTTTCTCCATTATCCCTATGAGCCAAATGAAATTAAACTAAAAACTAGAACCTATTCCTGACTTACAAGATTCCTCTCCCTCTCCTTTACAGAGTGGAATAAATCCATACTATATCCTAAGGCAAGTAATCTCCTTTGGAAAATTTTCGTTAAGAAAAGCTCACTTTCTTGAAATTTGTCTCTCTTCTTGTTCGAATTGGGAACAGAAAGCAATGACAAACTTTAAGCGTTTCAGTTAGTTTTATATAAAATCAGCACTTTCATATCGCCATACTGAACTGTGAGATTCTAAGCTGATTATATACTCACTGAAGAGAGGAACCATAGAACCAATGTTTGGGAAGAAGGAAGGCCAAAAGACTGTTAAAATGACTCAACTGTATAGGTGGCTTGGCTTCTGTATTACCTTAAATTCATTTATTAAACAAAAAGAAAACAATGTTCAGAACAGCCAAGATTGTATCATCATGATTCAGGGTGCTTTAAGAAGCCTGATCCCTCAGGATGTTTCTACCCTTAACAAGCCACTTGTTCTAAGGTGAGAATGTACCTACCAAAGTGGCTAATATGCTGTAGGCACCCCAAACATAGTTCAGATTACTATAAGCCCACCCACATATTCCCTATTATCTCATTTCAGTTGAATGATTTTTCCTCCATTAATTATAAAAATAATAAGGCCTGTATTTTAACTGGAAAAAAATACAAAAAGCACACTTTTAAACCACCTATGATCTTACCAAAGATTAAAATACTACAGAGGGACATGCCAACATCTTTTTCTGTGAATTTGACCATAACTGTGATCACATCAAATTTTAAATTTGTATAGAGCACTCACCACTAAACATGATTAACTACTGTCCTGTATTTTAATATCTTCATTCAGGCCTTTCTTGAGACTAATTTTTCATTACTTTTTTCCTTTCTTATTAACTCAATGGTTTCTTCTCAATCTTTATTCCTCTGAGTCTCTCAACTATATATTTTGCTGCTGACCACTTCCTCTTTCCTAAAAGTCTTTCTATTCTTAGTTTCCCTAAAGGGTATATTCCTCAGTATCTACAAAGGTCCCTCCAACTAATTTTTTTCTCTTTCTTCACTGGCTCTCTTCTGTTAACTTGTGACAATCTCCAAAAAAATGGCTCAGGCTTGCTATGGATTTACTATCAACTTTGAATCTCCAGCATTTAACACAGTCCCTGGCATGAAACAGATGCTCAATCAATGTTTACTGATTAACTTTGCCAATCCTGACCTTATTAGCCATGTGACCTTGGGCAAATTAAATCTCTCTGAATCTCAGTTCCCTCATCTATAAAATAGGGATAATCAAAAGACGATGATGCTTAGAAAGCTCAAAATACTGTCACAAAGTAGCATCCAAAAAATTATACTATTATCAATATAATCTAGCACAGGTCACAAAAAGGTCTCTCATTATTATATATGGTTGAACACTAAATCTACCTCTCAACTACCCAAATTACTTTCACCATATTCCCTTACAACTATCAAAAATACTTTTTGTGCTCTTTCCTTTACTGCCTATCTCCAATTCATCATCAACTACTCTAAATCTCTTACAGCCACCATATAGAATCACCATTTATCAACTAAGCTACAACAGACTTAGTTGATGGCCACACTCTTAAATCTTTATTTGAATTTTCAATCCTGCTCTGAAGCCATTTGTTTAATCTGTCACTCATTATAATAATCCTCATGTCTTCCAACAGTCCATACAACTCCTAATTCAAAAGATGACTCAAAACTTATCTCTTCCGGAAACCTTCCCTGATTAACTCACCACTCAAACTACTTCTACTTCTCTGTTCTGAGTTGCCTCAGCACCTCAGCTGTTATACTAAAAGGAAAATGTGATCAGTAAGTAGCATTCCCAAGAAATTACTTCTACAAAATTATTTCTACATCCTAAAGAACAGTCCATTAGCTATAATGCTTTCTTGCTCAAGATAATAAGCACCCTAGACAATGAATGTCCTCTTTGGTTTCTGTCCTTGACCCTATACTATTTTATGTTCGTCAGAAGTGCTGAACATTCCACAATCTTTTTGTCCTATCCTCAAGCAGAAATTGTAGCTCAGTACCTATCACCTCCTCCCATTTAAATCCACCAAAAATTTGATAGTGGGCCACTTTCTTTTCTACTGCCTCTTCTCTGCCCCCGACCTCTGTCCTCACCCCCGAAATAAAAAGTCCAAAAGCTTGAAACAGAATGGCAGCAGCAGTGATACTCACATACCATGTCTGTCTTTCCTCTACATGAAAAGAAATTTGAACCTATTTATTAGTGACAAAATTTCCTAAGGCTGAAAATTTTCCCAGCAAGCATGAAACATAACCAAATTCTATGACAACAAAATAGTTGATCCTACATAATAACAGGACTGTATTCATATGTTAATTTTCACTTGCATTACCGAAAGAGATCTTGCATAATTTTTATGCTATATTACACATACCCAAGATAATTGAGAAACTTCCCCATAGGGCAGATTTTCTAAGAATATCTTCTGGCACTGCCTTTACACTTTTTTTTTTTAATATAAAGAATTAAGCGATTCTTCACTGCCACTCAATCAAAAGTAAACAGTACTTGTGCCATTATTTCTGAGAAATAAGCTCTTTTGGGGAGGAAGGTCTATCAGCATCAGTAGCGAGTTACCAACTCTCAGTGTTTAGGCCCTTGATGCACACAGTAAATAAACCTGTGAACCTGACTCCTTTCTGAGATATTTGGCTCTCCTCTCTCTGCCAAAACCGACAGTTATTATTACTCATTCATAAAAGGTCCACACCCTTCAGCTACCATACACAAATCTACCTTGTTTGCTCCCCGTATACTTTCGCCTTAACTGGTCACCTGACACCTTCCAGTTAAAACAGTCTCCATCCACATCTTACCTAAAACCTTCTCCTCTCAGTCACCTTCCGGTTTCAGTAGGTGCCTCTTACTCCAGATCCACGTGTCCCCATTCGTCCAGATCTGCTAACCTTCAAAACCCAAGCCTGCCCCCCACTTCACTCCCAACTAATTTCCCCCACCCTTTATCAATGCCTATTTCTAAGAGGCCAAAAACACGCCACCACTCCGCACCTTCTCCTCGGGCACCTTTTTCTGAGCATCACCCTTTTCCCATCACTTTCTTCCTCCCCAAATCTGGAATCCTTCAGTCACAGGCCGCCTCTTACCGTTACCCTCAAGCACACTAGCGAGCTCCTCCGTTAACTACCCCACCCCACCTTCGCCACCTCTTCGCGGCCTCCCCATCCCAGGCAGCGCCCCCAGGCTTCGCAGCAGCAAACCAGGCCCCTCCCTACATCCCTGCCAGCGGTCCCCGCCCTCCGGAGGGCGGCGGCGCGGCCAAGGCGAACTGAGACCCTCTGGACAGAAGCAGGCGCCCCCAGCCCCGGGAGGCCGGGGCCGAGGGCGTGGGCGGGATGGCGGGTGTAACCCCCGTCTCGGCTCGGCCTGCCATCCCCGCGCCCTCAGCTGCGGCCCAGGTCAGGCAAGTAAGGGCCCGCAACCGGCCTCTCCTACCCTGCGTCGAGCCTCTCACCTAGATGCAGAGGCTCGGGCCTCGCTTTTCCTGGGGCCGTCCAGCGATGGCTCCGCCGCCGTCGCGATCCCCTCACGGGCTCTTTCACCGCCCCCGGCCGGCTGCTGAAGAGCGGACGGGTAGCGGAACGCCTATTGGCTGCGATCCGCACTCGCGTCAGCCGGCCCCTACCCGGACCGCAGATCTGATTGGCTGGCACGACGCCTCTTTTCCACGTCTTTTTCTGATTGGCTGTCTCTTGCCCCCTTACTAGGGGGACCGCTCAGCCGCCTTACCACTCCGGGCTCCCACCCCACAACCCCTTTTTTTATTCGGAAAGAAGGAGGACGGAGCGGGCGCGTGTAGAACTCGAACAGCCAATGGGAGCGCGGAAAGAGAGCCTAGGGGCGGGGAGTGGTTCTGCGACCCGCCTGCCCGCGGGGAAAGTTCAGCCAATGGGCGTGCGCCCCACCTCACGGACTTCAGAGCGCCTCCCCTGGCCACTCGCGTTCCCCCGGGTAGCGCCCAGGGCCACACCCGCCTCCCTGTTGCGCGGGAGGGGGGCTTACTCAAATGGTGGGGAGGCTGCGGCGAGGCTCCCTTAGGAGACGGCGGGAGGCTATTGTGGCGTGATCCGACACTACCTACCTACGTGGGTCCCGGAGTACCTTCTCGTGGGGCTGGTTCGGGTCCGTAAGAACGGAGCCGTCTCTCCGTGGGCCCCGCAGGATGCCCTTCAAGGAGGGAGCCGAGCTTGCGTCTCGTCCAGCCCCTTGGGCCAAATCATTCCACTTTCCACTTCCTCCAGAATGATTTTGTACAAAACTTGTCTGTGGTTTGAAAGGGGCACAAGGGAACCTAATGAGAGCCTTAAAAGCTCTGTCTTGATCTGAGTGATAGTTGCAGAGGTGTATAAATATGTAAAACTTCATCGAGCCTTACATTTAATATTAGTGCACTCAACGCACTTTGTGTGTATCTCAATTTTTTAAATAATAAAAGGATTGTGAAAATAACTCTTAATAACATCACCATAACCTTAGCCTCCACGGGACTCCCATGGTATGAACAATCCCACTAGGATTTAGCTATCATTCCAAAACGACAAACTGCAGGAAGAAGAAAAGGAATTGTGAGGATTTAAAATGAGTGAAAGCTCTTCACACAGTGAATAACACACACAGATTGATACTTTAAGGATGAGCTAAGATGATTTAAAAGTGATTTTTCTTAGTTTCAGTTCATGGCCCTGTTAGTAGCACAGAAGCATCCAGGGTGCTGTACCCAACTGGAAACTACTTAAAATTTAATAAGCTCCCTAGTTTGTGGCTACATAAGTCTGAACACCAGAAACTTTCGATTTAATACCATAGCTTTTGCCCTGGAAAAGTTCACAGTCCAGTACCAACTATAGTCATTGCTGGAAGAGGGCTCAAAACACAAAACTAACACAGCTGCTTACCACTAAGTTGAGCAAGTTGTGTGTGCCTGGAAGCCAGTCCAGTAGCTATTCTGAAATAGCCAGCGTCAGGTGAAACATTCTTAGAAATAGGTCAATAATATTGTTTCCAAAGCAGATATAAGAACTCTGAACCAAATTCTAATAGGGCACCAGTAACAAAGCAGTTAAAGATGACAGGATTCATATTTAGTAATTTTGTCATTAAGTTGTTCAATTCAGATAAATAACTTTGTTTAAAGTACTTGTCCCTGAACTAGGCACATGAAATTAGAACAATATTTCCCATAAAGCAAAGGGTATAATAGGGAGACAGACATGAACAAATAATTCCAACACGTATAAATTGGGAGGCAATACATATAAAGAGTATCTAACCCAGCCTAGGGAATGTAGGGGCATCTTTCTTAAAATACACTTTCAAGGTTTATCAGCATAACATGTAACTAGGCACTATTTCTGGAGAATATTTTCATTACAAATCTTTTAATTTTTATGCAAATATCTTGATTTTTTTTAATGGCTGTAAGTACAAAAACAAATTAATATTCAGTTCTGAGTAAACCACATTAAGAAACTGAGTAATTGCTTAATGAATACATTGTGATTTTAAAAAATAACTGTAGAGTTGAGAGCATAAAGTCATCTCCTTTGATTCATCAGTATATGTGCAACATGTGCCTCCAGCAGAGACCCTCGCAGATGGACAGCACGCTGTCTAGAGGAGGACCTAACAATTCACTCTCCAAGATGGTTCTATCTCTTGGGGAGGGCAGGTTGTATGTGGCCAGTGTCCCTCATAAGGCACTACTGTTCTTAAGTGAACTCAAAGAATTCATGTATCTACAAGATGAGTAGTTAATCGTCTTCACAAAAGGCAGTGAAGAATTTTGCCCAGAGTCTCACCAATAGAATGTAGTAATACCAAAAAGGTAATTATTCATTCCAGTGCTTTTCCCATTTTTCTTAAACAAGAGCCCTAAATATTGGACAGCCATATATTGAAATCAACTTCATTGTAATTTTATTCAAATATAAAGCACTCATATGTGATTTTGATCTTTGCTATAGAAACACAATTCTGCAAGTGGAGGTAAACTACACCAAACCAAAAATGTGCTCTTACAGTTTACAGCCTAAGGAGAGATATATATTACTGAGAAAATACATAGGAATAAGCACCAAAATAAATATGCTACACATAATGTAGTTCTAACTATTTATGAATCCCTCATAATTTTTTTACATTTTGTGTTTATTCTTCATTTAACTTTTAATACACTGTTATAGTTGAATATTAAAACAAAAACAATAGCAAATAGTGAACATATTATGATTATAGTCCTTCACTCATTCAGGACTGTATATAAAATGCCAGCAGTGAGTGTTATTCACTGGCCCCATTAAGAGGTCTGACCCTGAACACCACCATTAGGATGATGTTCATCATCCTCATATGCTCCTTCTCTGTAATGACACTGTCTTTCTTGATTTGGGCCAAAGTCCACTAGTTCTACCTGGCCCATTTCATCAGTCTCTTCTACAATACTTCCTTCCTTTCAAGTAGTTTTTCCAGCAAAGAAAGTTTATCAGGAGAGAGAAAGCCATTCTCAGGAAAGTTTACCTTAAATTCGATGATTAGGCAACCCTTTCCATATGGTCTATTGTAAATTGGCGTGCCTTCATTTAGCACACACTTGATATCTCCATGTTTGACAATCCGACCTGAATGATAGGTGATGACTATGGTTTGGTTGTCAAGAGTAGCTATTGGCCTTTGGGAGCCACACAATGCTTCAACCAGCTGTGTGTCCATACACATGAAAAGGTCTTCTCATCAAGTGAAAACAGTATGACCTTTCTAATCTAAAACAATGATAATATCTCCTGTCCCAGTCCTCGTTCTTGGTCTCCTTTTACTATGGAATGTTATCTTCTGGGCATCTTTCCTGCTTTTGTCAAATGAACTTCTAGAATCTTCTTCTCTCAAACTATCTTCCTTCCATTGCAACTTTTGCATCTATCTTTAAGATCAATCCATTCCCCCATGGCCCTGGCACTCTATGCACACAGACTGAGTTTGCTGAACTGTTCCAGGCCCTATCTGAGGAACTCTTATTTGCACCCCAGTACCTCGGCAACTGGGACAGCACTCTACTGCTCCTTTCTTACTGCCTCAGCCTTTGCATTTGTGACAACTCACATTCTTTTGCAGAGCTAGTTTTCCTGTGCATCATTACACATATAAGTCTTCTAAGGTTACTGAGAGCTGATGCACAACATTTTTACCTCCCCTTTCTCTCTGCATCCTTCCTCCTCCAAAAAACATATCAACGATGCCCATGGGGTAGCCAAAACTGCCACTTGTTCCACCTTCTTTAATTGCCTGTTCTCCTCTTTTGTCATATAATTCCCTTTTCTTTGGAGCAGAGAGCACTTCCTGAGAAATCTGTTTAAACTTTCCTTTTTGGATACTTATCAGGGTGATATTTCAAGGTCAGCTTACTGTAAACCTTTTTTTCAGTTCTTCTTGGGTGGCATTGGATTTGACCCCCAAAACTTCATAGTAAGTGATTCCTTTCAACATTTTTGACAGCCAGTGAGCTGGCCGAGGCAGGTATGGAGGAGCAGGAAGGAGCACATTGCTGCCCATAGCTCAAAAAGTCCTGTTCCTCAGCCTCTCACCAAGTATTCTGGAACCCCTCAGAATTTTATAACATCTTTAAAAACAGAAATACTACCTCTTCCTGCTCTGAGGAAACACTTTTCTTCTAACATGTCATTTTCTAACTCATATCTTTCTGTTAATGTCTTATTAAACACAGTTCTGAGGAGGTTCTTCACTCTGTTAAAAAAGAAACAACAGGCCCAAGATGGAGTCACTTTTGCTAAACTCTCATTACCCAACTGACATTTAATACCAAACCTAACTGTAATCTTAGCCTTCCCCAGGAATGTTACTGTTAACCAGTTAAACTGTAATTTCCTTGTCAGCACTAGTGAGGTAATCCTCCTGACAGGAACCCCAAAGGAAAGTGCCTTGCCTAAAATGATGCATTCTTTGCTAGAGAATACATTTTCCTGCCTGCTTCTCCCCATAAAAAAAACCTTTCATTTGGAATAGCTCCTAGGAGCTCCTTCTTATTTGCTAGATGGGATGTTGCCTGTACCACTGAATAATGCTAATTAGATGTTTAAATTTACTTAGTTGAATTTTTTAACAGCTCTATCTTCACAACACCTCAATGCAAGTATTTATCTATTTATCTGAATTTCATAGAAGAGAAAATTGAGGCTCAATAAGACAATAACCTGCCCAAAGTCGCACAGCTGTTAGGTGGCAGAAGTACGATTGAAATCTAGGTCTCTCTGATGGCAAACTCCATAATATTTCTACTATGCCCTACCTGTCTCCTCTAGAACAAGATCAAGCCATTTTGACTGGCCCTTGTACATCTTCGTATTCCCCACAATGAGTAGCACAGAATCTCATACATGTCTCAGGGAACTCACAGAATTAATTATTTTCACCATGCTTTTCTTTATTTTTACTGATTTCATGACAATAGAGAGTGTGACCTATTTAAAACTAACAATTTTGCATTAAAAATGTTTGTTTTGACAAAACTAAAGAGAACACAACTTTCTTTGAAGTGACAGTAGAGAA